GCAGTTAAGTGGCTTTTTTTTCTTATATCTGTACCTTATTGGGGTATTTATTGTTCTAAGGACTTTTTTACTCTTACCCCTGAAATTAAACAGAAATATCTTTACTTTCTAGTCCTTTCTTTCCAAATCTGGAATATCTGGCTAATTACATAAACATACTGACAATGATATGATGTAAAAGCTACAACAGAACAAAGGGAAGATCTGGAGAAAGAATATAATCTGTCCAATTGGAGCACAGTTTATAAAAAAAAAAAAGGACTGCTAGTGACATGGATAAAGTTAGGGGGGCTTGAATACATTGCAAATTATGGATCTGATTGTGAGATTAACGATATTTCCTATCCATTTCCCCTTTATTAGATTATAATTAACATCTTGATCATGCTTATGCATTCCCACTTATTGTTGTTCACTTTTTATTTTTCTGACTCTAACTAGTCCGGCAGTTTTCAACCGATTAAAAACAACAATTTTGGTATCAAAACGTTCAGCTTGTTCAGGAGAATCCTGCTATGTCTATGGGTAAAGATATTTTTGTAGTTTTTGCGATATTCAGCTTTTTCTGCGTTTTTTTTTTTTTTTCTTCTTTGACCTTTAACAACTTCAGCATACTTTCAGCTAGAAACACCATTCAACTTTTTAAATGTTTCCGTATCTTTCTGCTATTACTGTTTAACTCGGCTTTTTGCTAACTTTTACAGTTTTGCTTCAGTGCAGCTTCAAACTTTAAAAGAAATTTTAAAGATTTTCAAATTTATAATGGAAATCTATGGACGGAATTCTTCAACTGCTAGAGTGCGTGCTCTAGCTTTTGAGCTGTTCTGGTTTTTCCAAACAAATTCTTCTCACTCCCTTATTTTTCACTCAATTGAAATAAATTTTACATCAAAACGTAGGTATTTTTGTCAGGATTCAGGAAATAACCCTAATTTGTGTGGCATTTACAGTTTTCCGTCAGTTTGGCCCAGACCGCGAAGAAGTCCACACTTCCCCAATAGAAATCCAATGAGAGACTTTCCAAAAATCACAGACAAAATCCAAAACGATACATATTTTTGTATCGCTCCCATTTCTAAACTGTTTGATGTACAAACATGAAACTTGGTATAGAACATCTTCAGACCCTTCTAGCACTCACATTGAAGGAATTTTTTTCAATATCATTTATGGTTTAGCTGTTTAGCTGACCTGTTCGGGCATAGGAAAACGTTGATTCTGAGAAAAATATATATACTCAGAAAAAAAAAATTTTTACATCGGCCAAATAGTTTTTAGTAGAAACATGAAAGTTAGCACAGTCGAAACCAAAGGATGGCTGACGCCAACAGTGAAAGAATTTTTTTAATACCTTTTACGATTTTGCCTCAACTCTCGTTTGTTCGGAGGGGAAGTTTTGCTTTTGAGAGCTCTGCTCTACCATGGAGCTGCATGTTATTTAATGAGACCAGCAGGAGTGATAAACCTTTATATTTCTCCTTCCCATTTAGGTTGTGAATGAGCTACAGCCATGAAAGTTACCCAAATCGGAGACAAAGAATAGCCTTCGCTTAGACTGAAAGAATTTTTTAGATACCATTTACGGTTTGTCTTCAGTACTCGTTTGTTCTGAGCTGATTTTCCCATTCAAAAAAGCCTGAGAGGAAAGGAACAATACTGCTGAGCTTTGCTCTCTGTCACTGACAGGCTCGTCAAGCGTTGTCAAGGTAACCGAACTTCAAAGGGATTTTACCTCTGCCACTTTAAACATCACATTTTAATCTAATAGAGGGAGACAACACTGATTTAACATTTGGAAATGGATACAATATGACTACTGGCCATGACCCTTCCCTTCACACGCAACCCTGATAGACTTTTAAAATAATACTCCGGGGACCCTACAAAATAAAAGCCCCTACATTAAACTCATATTTTTTTTCCCAGCATATGGCTCAACATTATGACCCAAGCTCAACCACTTTTTTAAAATTAGACTCTAGGGGGGGTTTCAAAACACACCCCACAGCAAATTTCAAAATAAAAGCCTCCCATTGCCACTTCATCTACTGCCCTAATAACATGGGAAAAGAGTGATTTAACAATTGGAAAGTCATCAAGTATCACTGCTGGGTCTGACCCTTTTCTCAACAAAAAAACCCTGCTAGACTTTCAAAATAAGACTCCAGTGACCCTACACAATAAAAGTCTCTATATTATACTCGTGTATTAATTGATGCAAATGGCTCAGCATTATGACCCAAACTCTACCAGCTTCTTTCTATTAGACTCTAGGGACCTTTTCAAAACATACCCCGGAGCAAATTTCACAATAAAAGTCTCCCATTTATGCTCTAATGCAGCATCTATTCACCCAATAACATGGAAAACCAGTGATTTCATATTTAGAAATGGATTCTATATCACTGCTGGGCATGACCCTTCCCTTGACACACATCCGTGATAGACTTTCGAAATAAGACTAAAGGAACTCTACAAAATAAAAGCCTCTTCCTTACACACACTCATTCAATGTGCCGTATGGCTCGTAGTTATGACCCAAACCCAAACTCAACCAATTTCTTCAAATTACTCTACCAAGACCCGTTGACCACACACCTCAGTGCATATTTCTTAATCAGGTTCTAAGATTTACACTGTAATAAAGCATCTGGTAACCTCGTAACATGCAGCCTAAGCCTGCCAACGGTGCTTTCATCACCACAGCGGCTCGTAACATGCAGGTTAGTTATTTTGATAAATTCAGCTCCTTAAGTATTAGGTATTAGCTCTCTTTCTATAGGTTTCTCTCTCTGTCCTTCCTCTGCTTCTCATGGTCAGTCTTACACATAGGTTTGTAGATTTTCAATCCTCTAAGGATGACACTGTTTTCTTTATGCTGATCAACCGACACATTTTAAATAATTTCAAATTGTTTTGCCAAGTCTTGACATTTCTACATATGATTTCAAAATTTAGATACTTATTCAATACCATCTTCCTCAACATTTTACTTCCCATCTTTAAGCAACTATTTTTTCTTCAACCAGATAAGATTCAAGTTTTTCTTAGTATTTTTTTTTCTGATTCAGCTAATTTAATACTTTTCAGCCTATGCTGTGAACTTTGGCTTCATTCTGCTCTGTTTCTGGACAGGAATTAAGCTTTTCTGTTTGCTGCTAATTCATAACACACCTGACATGTTTCTGGGCAGTAGGTGGCCCCCTTCAAAATTTCTTTATACATTTTTCTAGAAACTTGGGAGACATTATATTAAAACCCTTCTAGCGCCCACATTCAAGACATTTTTTGATATCATGTATAGTTTGGCTGTGCAGCTTTTGAGATGAGTCTGTTTCTGCCATTTTACTGCCAAATGATTCTACCCTACAACATCTTCAGATGATTCAATTGTTTTCTGCAGTTTGAAGTTTCTGATGACTTCCTATTACATTTTTTATATGTTCTTCAGGTAATTTCAGCTTTTTTCATTCAGCAAAAGCATTCCCACTTGCTGTTTCTCCGAAACAGCTTTTTCTAGTTAAAATTCTATTTCTTATGAGGTCAATTCAACTATACTATTGTTGAATTGACCTCTATACTATACTAAACAAGTATGGTGTTTATCACTGAACCAATAAAAACTACTGAATGTCTGATTGGCTAAAATCGTGAGGTCACCCTGAATAAATAAAAGCAACTCAGCCTGTGACTTTATCATTTCATATTGCAGATTATATTTTTTTGTTCATATTTTATTACACTTCTGTTAGATATAAGTGTTCTAAACACTTACAAAATGATTTCCATGGGATATTCAATCATGTGGGTAGTTAACTTCAGCTCTCAAGAGCCAGCTTCCAAACTTTGTAGCCTCCCTGCTCCTGTAAACAAAGTTTAAATGTGTGCAGTCATCAAGGCCTTCAGTATAAGGGATGAAAAATGACCAAACCAAAATAAATAAATACAGTAGCAAAAGGTTCCTTAAAGAAGATTTTCTTTTACAATTTTTAAGATCTTTTTTCAGGTTAGAGTAAAACTTTTCCACAAGGAGTTCTGGATAGAACATATTGACAGACGAAAAACAAATTTTTTAAATCTTAAATGCTAAATGTTTAGATATCTATTTCTTAAAATTTTGATATAATTACTGCTCTAAATCTGTTACTCTGTCAGCTAAAGGCATGTTTTAAAGTCTCTGTACTCTGTACATGTGCTCGTGAAACATCATCAGCCTCATGGCAGAGAGCGGCTTTGCTATATTTGCTTTGATCAGTGGGTAAAAAGCAGTTTTTAATTGAGAAGGTTCACCTAAAACATTGTCTGTGCAGTCACTTTGTCAATGTTACGATCCTGCCTTAAATTATTATTTTGCTGTTGGGGCCACACAGACCAGGATAATAAACACAAACATATTTTGCCGGCAAGTTTCCACATTTTAAGTTAATTAAGGCATTAATAAACTGTTTCAGAGGAGTGATCATAGTGCTCTGCATCAGCAGTGCTGTGTCTGTCTCCCTGCCAGCCTCAGATCAGCTTCTCTGATTGGTTGATGTGCTGCGTCAAACAGCAAAAATTCAATTTCTCCAACTCCGGCATCTGCTGCTTGTGAAGCGCAGACTGCGCCTCAGAAGCTCTGCAGCTCATGAGGAGCTGCTTCTGCTGCTCAGATTCGTCAAAATGCTCCGCTGCTGCTACTCTAGATATGCTGCAGGACCTTTTGGGAAATTGGGGTATATTTAATGTTCATGTACTGTTGAGTATGAAATGTTTATGATGAAAGCAGGCGCAATCCCTGCAACAGAGTTTACCTAAGTAGATGACTCCATTCAACTTCTCCTCGCCTTTAGCTTTGAAATGGGAGACACAAGACGGTTTTCAGCTGTGGCTACGTTGTAGCCACCAAAACCCCTCCAGAGAAGAGTCTGTGTTCGCTGGCCGAATCAGATTGCACCCTGCCTACGATTCACAAAGAGCTGAACCTAGTCTCTTGTTTTTCCTGTGTTTCAAACCAGGTTGAAGGCAGTTTTTGGGGAACCTGCTGATGCAGAAGAAACGGGCCCAAATGGTGTTCGCCTGAGAGCCGCTATAGGCTGTCAAGCCATACCACTCGAGCCGCTGCCTGGAACTGTGAAACCGCCAGACCATGACCCATTGGTTCGGCTGCTGTGCTTCCGCAGTCTGAGCAAATGCTACAAGCTACCCTCTACTTTAAGAGGGTCTCCTGGCTAAGGTTAATGTAAATCATAAAAGGCAGTCTTGCAAACTTTCATTCTGTTATTTGCAAAAGAGTAACTCAAATATCTTCTAGAGTTGCCTGTTGGAGGAGCAGACTGCATTTCCATGGAACCCAATCAACCAAACTGAGTCGGACTCCAGAACAGATCCAAACCCACGTCCCCTACATTCCTATGAGCCAACATGTAAATATAATTTCCTTTCAGCTGATGCTTCATAAATCCTCTGCTTGGGTGAAAGATAGGTAGAATAGGTAGTTTTACATGTGTTGGTTGTGTTTCATCTGAAACTGACTGATGTTTTTTTCAGTAAAAGTTCTAAACTGATGCTAATGCTAGCTGCGCCTCACTGAACCACCCATGCTGTGTGTTACTATCCGCTCAATTCATCTTTTTTTCCGTGTTTAAAGAGTCAGGCTGCTACAGTTGGACCTAGCATCATTACCTTCAAGCTACCCAATTGCTGGCCCTATGGTAATGAAAAATATAACTAACAGATTAATTTATTTTTTTATTGATTAATTTAGTTGCAGCCCTAGTTCCTTTAATACAGTGAACAGTTTAAAGCATCTGTCCTTAAAAATGTTTCTGCATTATCTTTACTTTTATACTTTAAATAGTTTTAAAAGTGGTACTTTTACACTTTTATGTGAGTCAAAAGCTTAAGTTGATACTCTAACTTCTACAAATGTGTTTTGAAACAGTAGGATTTATATTTTTACTTGTGTAATAAATTTTAATACATTTTTTTCACCCCTGCTTATTTTGAGTAGTGTTTAGTCTTTGTGTGATTATTAGATACAATAATCCTGTGTTACTGATTAGCTAACAAAGGTAGCACTGTATTTTAACCAGTGGTCTTCTGCGGTTATTTTATGCAATGAACGATTTATCACTAAGTCTAACACATAGTCTATATTACTAAATTGGTGAAGGGAACTGGATTTTAACAGCCGGTCTAGGAGCCCAACCTTTATGTGAAAAGCTAAGAACCCTGATGAAAAAGCAAATTACAGTTATAATCAATCAACTAATAATCATTCATTTCTACTGTCGATTTGAAAGACCTATTATTTAACTAAGACTCCCAATTCTACTTACTTGATATATTCATAATCTTCTGTTAAACTTGCTCAACATAGTGTTCACACTTCAATAGAGTTAGTGTTTCAAAAGCATTTAATAAAATATCGGGATTCTACAAAACCTAAGTGATTATAACTTTCTACTAATACAGTGGATAAATAACGTATATAATGGATTAAAAACAATAAATATATGTGTTACTGTGCCCACATGTTTATTTATTCCTGAAATTGGGAGTAAAAGGTTTTGAAATGAGTAGACTATTGATTTTGTCGATATAGACAGATTTATTTATTTATTTACACAAGTGTAAAACAAAAAGACATTTCGTTTAGAACAGTTTCAATTTTTTTTAAAGTGCAGCCTTAGAAAATAGTAAAAAATATATATATATATAAAAAAAGAAATATAAACATATGACTGTAAATTTACAGTTGTAAAATTTTCAGTTTATATATATATATATATATATATATATATATATATATATATATATTATATATATATATATATATATATATATATATATATATATATTTAGATATAGGGTTCTCGATTAAATCGAAATTAATTATTAAAAGGCTATTTCAATTGATAAAACATTTAAAGTCCCACCATTAATATTTATACATGTACATAAAGGAGTTACATGCCCATGAATTATGTTTACAGGAAAAGCCAGTCTCTGGAGAATCTATGTCTCTTCTTTCTACAAAGAAAAGTGAAAGTTCTCTATTGAGTCATTGCAACATTTAAATATTGTTCTTCAAACTGTGGTGAAACTGTGAATGACTAATATCGTCATTAACTTATAATGTCAAAACATTCAGGTGAGACATAATACATTTCATTTTCTGGCATTTTTTGCCTAATACTTCATGAAAGCTTTATATTTACATCCAGTCTTAAAAAACTAATACAGGCAATGTGAAACCTCAAAGCCCGTCCTGGTTTGGAAACTGTCCTGGGATTCCAACTGCTAATACTGCCCAGTTAACTTTTGTATTGTTTTTAGAGGTTTTCAGAGGAATGGGCCAGTATCGGGTATTGCAGGCCAATAACAACTTCCTTTATTAAGGGGTGGAGCTGGTTTTCCACTGTCAATGTGCTAAGCCATAACAAGGCTTTTGTTGGGTTACTGTACAAAAGCCTGGAACTCAACGCTATTCCTGACAATTTGAATTGAGAGAGCTTCCTGGATAGGAAGCGAAACGTCTTCAAACTTGGAAAACAAAGACCAGTGGTTTGTTTTTTAACTTTAACTTTTTGGAATTTTTTTTAACCCTCCTCGTTCTCAAATATAGTAACAAATTTGGTCCTTGGGGTCAATTTGACCCCAGCGATATTTACCTCCAGAAAATGATTTACAGAATATTGTTGACCAAGTTTTTGTGACAGGCACTTTGTTTATTTGTTGAATACATAAATAACCCCTTGAAAATCAGTGAGTTGACCTTCCCTCTAGCGCCACCATCAGGCTAAACCTTTAAATGAAAATGATTTTATTTTGATTTTTTTATACAAATCTTCTTAAATTTACAGGTTTTGAGCACATTCATGACTCTCACCAAATGAACCATATTGATTAATGTTGGTGACTCCCCCTTTCCTCTCATAAACATATTTATTTACTTATTTTTATCTATTTTGTTGTAATATATTTGTTGCTAGTTACTGTAGGATCTTACTCACCCCTCCTCTTTTGTTATCCGGGCTTGGGACCGGCAGTGGCAGAGTTATAGAGTTTTTTTTGTTTGTTTTTGTTTTTTTATGATTTTTTTGGTTGTTTTTTCTGTATTTTTTTTTTCATTTGTGTGACAGAAAATGGATAATGAGAACATGTCACGTAGTAGTTAGAACATGGAACAGTTTTTAGAGAGAAACAACATGAAAATCCACCCATTTTGAACAGTGTGATAATGTCAGTAGCTAAAACGTGGAACAGTTCATGCCACAGTAGCCAAGCTTTTAGTCTGCACTACTGTACACAGGATGTGCAGAGTGTGTGTGCATGCTCCTTGCAGACATAGTTTTCGCATTTTGAACAGGTCATGCTGGTCTTGCAGTCGTTTCGGGTGGGACAGACCTGACACCTGCCACGTTTCTTGCCTGCAGTTTGTGCCACTGGAGGAGTTGGGGTGTTTTTCTCCCTCTGTATGTCCCTCACAATAGCTGCAGCAACTGGTGATGCTCTTGGAAAGCTCTGTCTTCTCTCAATTTGAGGCCTGACCAGTGCATTGCCAAGCTCCTCCAGGAAAAGCCTCCTTCGGCTGAGTTTTCCCCTATTCCAGTCTTTGTTTATCTCACACCAAATCACGAACGCATTATATGCACTCACATCAATGATGTGGAAGAAGATGACAAGGGGCCAACGGGCAGTCATGCGTCGACAGCTGTATGTGGCTGTGACCTTGTCTAGATTGTCCACCCCTCCCTTTGTTTCTTTGTAGTCCAGCACCATTTGTGGCTTTTTGTCTTCTCTGCTGCTCAGGGCAGCATCTTTGTGCATGGTGCTGAGCAGCAGGACATTTTTCCCTTTCTTGAGACAGTAGGAGACCAGAGTTGCTTTCTCAGGGAAGGCAAACATGGAAGATGTTACCTTCCTGCTCTTGACAGCAAGGAGTTCAGAGGGAAGCTCTGGCTTGTTCTTTCTCACTGTCCCCAACATCGTAACCTGCCTTTTGAGCAGTTACTCACCCAGGGCGTAAGACGTGAAAAAATTATCACATGTAATATTATGCCCATGCAGTCCTTCAGCCATATCAAGCACAACCCTTGTGCCCTGATTTTTTTCTGGTGCTTCGCCAGGAGATTTGCCCGTGTACACCTGCATGTTCCAGGCAAAGCTGGACTGTGCATCACATGCTGCCCATATTTTGATGCCATATTTAGCAGGTTTGCTAGGCATATACTGTCTGAATGGGCAGCGCCCACGAAACGCAACCAGGCACTCATCGACAGTCACGTGAGCGCCTGGATTATAAAGCAAGTTTGTCACGTTCTCGACGGCCCCGCCTTGTTTGTTTGTCATCAAAGCGTATGACACGAGACAAAATGTGGAATGCCTTCAGAGACATGGTGGCTGGAAATATTGCCCTTCCAGTCTCAGCATTCCAAAGACTTGCTGTTGCTTTACCTTTTGACTTATAAACTCCTGCCAAAATTAGCAAGCCAATGTAGGCTTCCAAGTCAACTACATCCAAGTCTTTCCAACTGTCCCCATAAACATGCTTTCCCTCTAAATTTGTCATCCCAAGCACAATATTTTTGATTGATGGCATTATGAGGAGCTCGAATGATGACTTGATGTCATCAACATTGGTGACTGCATATCTGGTGGGTCCTGGAACCATTTTGATTATATTACTTGCGCTATGTCTACCCTGCTGTTTCAGTGGGGAAAGGGACCATATTATTTTTCCATTTTTGGAAGAAATTGTATCTGCTGGTGGTTGAGGGACAAAAGGAGGGTCAACACTCTCATTCTCATCAGATGAGAATTCCTCAAAATCAGGGTCCTCCTCAACAAAATCCTCAGTCTCAGAGACAGTCTCCTCTAAGTCACTTTCACTGTCAAAGAGCTGCTCCAAAACCTCTTTGACAGTAAACCTTTTTCCAGAAGACATTTTCAAAGAGAGAGTGTGCAGATTGCAGTATACTCAGAGCACAATGAGGAATGATTTGGATAGAGGACTGTAGTGCAAGCTTATGTTTGCTCCTCCCTGATTTGGCATGAACTACCAATGGCGTTGTAGGAATAACCCGCCCTTCACAAGGTGGGAAAAATCAGTTCTACTTTGGCAGGTGTGAGTTCAGAAGGTCACACAGATCGCCAGATGTCTCAGTTCAATTTAATAAAATATCGGGATTCTACAAAACCTAAGTGATTATAACTTTCTACTAATACAGTGGATAAATAACGTATATAATGGATTAAAAACAATAAATATATGTGTTACTGTGCCCACATGTTTATTTATTCCTGAAATTGGGAGTAAAAGGTTTTGAAATGAGTAGACTATTGATTTTGTCGATATAGACAGATTTATTTATTTGTTTACACAAGTGTAAAACAAAAAGACATTTCGTTTAGAACAGTTTCAATTTTTTTTAAAGTGCAGCCTTAGAAAATAGTAAAAAATATATATATATATAAAAAAAGAAATATAAACATATGACTGTAAATTTACAGTTGTAAAATTTTCAGTTTATATATATATATATATATATATATATATATATATATATATATATTAGATATAGGGTTCTCGATTAAATCGAAATTAATTATTAAAAGGCTATTTCAATTGATAAAACATTTAAAGTCCCACCATTAATATTTATACATGTACATAAAGGAGTTACATGTCTCAGTTCAAATGTATCAACTAAAATGTATCAACTCTGCACCTGCAGGTATGGTCATGTTAGGTCACTGACAAGTTTTAGCAGCTAAAACAGCTTGGGGTCAAATTGACCCCAGAGGACAACCAATGCGTGTAATATGTGTTCAGCGCATTCAAAAAATAACATCACAAAAATGTTATGCTTTACCAGTTGTCCCCATCTAATTAGGAAAAGTCATGAAATATGAAGCAAAAAAAAGAAGTTAACTACTATTTTTTGAATGATAAACATTGAATGGGGTCAAATTGACCCCAAGGACGACAGGAGGGTTAAATTGTTCCTTAAATTTTTTTTTTGTCTTCTTTATCATTCGTATGTTTTGATTCTATATTTTGTGTATTTTTTGTAGCATAATTTATTTTTACTGTTTTATTTTTTTCTATCAGCACTTTTTTAATATATAAAAATAGTTTTTATGCATTTTAATTTTGTTATTCGTAGACAAGTTTACACTTATAAAACTTATTTTAATTTTATCCCTCTGTATACTTCAGATGTGGCAAATTAATCTAAGTTGACTGTGGGGGGCAGCCGGAGCACCCGGAGAGAACCCACGCATACACAGGGAAAACAAACCTCAACGAGAAGGACCTCAGGCTGGACCAAGGACCTTACTGCTGTAAGTTAACTGAGCTGAAGAGTGTTCCACTGTGCAGCCCCTGCTTTTTCATGTCTTTGTTTAGTTTATTTTAATTTTTTAGGGATGGGTTCCAGTTGTCATTATTCTGATGTTTTTCAATAATTTTGCTGGGTCTGGATAGGTTAAAGCTTTGACCGCAACGCTATATTCATCCTCTCCATCTGTGTGTTTCTCGTAGATGTAGATAAACCCGTTACAGCATATATCTTTCACACAGTCTGTATCTGAAAATGTAACTTGTTCATCTTCCGCCCTAAATACCACTTGTCCACACATCAGGTATGTGTAAGAGTGGTACACCTGAGAAGTCAACAATTGGCGGCAAATGACTGAGGACAGACGGTATAACTGGGTTCCACTTTTTCCAGGGATCTCCAGGGTTGGACTAGGAATGACAGGATGTGTTAATTCCCCCTGACTGGTTGACCGTTCAAGATATAGGACTATTACATCAGTGTGGTTGAGGAACTGTTTTGTTGTCAACATGGAGTCGCAGGTGTCACAGTACACTGTGGGGGCCTCACCAGCCCAACGTTTAAGAAGAGAAGCGGTACTGTCGTTTGCCACTGCGTACGGTAGGCAAATGATGGGACCAAGTTCCCAAGTGTCAAGCCATTCCTTATGACATCCTTCACACGACATAGCTGTGTATCCTTCGCAAAGAGTGTTAATACCACATGGGTTTAACCAGCGTAAAATAGCTTCCAAGAATGCTGTCATATGGCTCTGCTGGGTAAAGACATGTTCAGAAATTTCCATCAGAACTTGGTAGATTTCTCCTGGGGAAAAATAGGTCCCTGGATGGTACATAGCAGTATTCAAAAGGCTGGCAAATGAAGGAGTTTCTGAAAAAGCTCCAAAAAACTCTTCAGGATACTCTGCCACAAATTTTCTGGTGATGGTCAGGTTCATAACGCTTTGGATCATGGCATTCATCCAACCATTTTGAAAGGAGTTGGAAAACTTGCAAATGTACATAGTTGGATCGACATTGCAATCTGTTTGACTTACCTCTTCCTGGTAGCAACAATCTGCCTCATTAAGCACTTCAGAGTTGCTCATATTTGGTGAGCTGCCCATGTCCATATTTTCAGCTTCAAAAGAGGAAGTCAGTTTGTCCTCCGATATGTCTTGTTGTATTTGAGGGTCTGGATAGGTTAAAACTTTTAGGTCCCCCCTAAATCTTGATGTTGTGGGAAAAGTTGCTGTTTCTTCAGGGTTGCAGTTATCTTGATCTGGAGTAGCTTTGACCGTAACGCTATATTCATCCTCTCCATCTGTGTGTTTCTCGTAGATGTAGATAAACCCGTTACAGCATATATCTTTCACACAGTCTGTATCTGAAAATGTAACTTGTTCATCTTCCGCCCTAAATACCACTTGTCCACACATCAGGTATGTGTAAGAGTGGTACACCTGAGAAGTCAACAATTGGCGGCAAATGACTGAAGACAGACGGTACAACTGGGTTCCACTTTTTCCAGGGATCTCCAGGGTTGGACTAGGAATGACAGGATGTGTTAATTCCCCCTGACTGGTTGACCGTTCAAGATAAAGGACTATCACATCAGTGTGGTTGAGGAACTGTTTTGTTGTCAACATGCAGTCGCAGGTGTCACAGTACACTGTGGGGGCCTCACCAGCCCAACGTTTAAGAAGAGAAGCGGTACTGTCATTTGCCACTGCGTACAGTAGGCAAATGATGGGACCAAGTTCCCAAGTGTCAAGCCATTCCTTATGACATCCTTCACACGACATAGCTGTGTATCCTTTGCAAAGAGTGTTAATACCACATGGGTTTAACCAGCGTAAAATAGCTTCCAAGAATGCTGTCATATGGCTCTGCTGGGTAAAGACACGTTCAGAAATTTCCATCAGAACTTGGTAGATTTCTTCTGGGGAAAAATAGGTCCCTGGATGGTACATAGCAGTATTCAAAAGGCTGGCAAATGAAGGAGTTTCTGAAAAAGCTCCAAAAAACTCTTCAGGATACTCTGCCACAAATTTTCTGGTGATGGTCAGGTTCATAACGCTTTGGATCATGGCATTCATCCAACCATTTTGAAAAGAGTTGGAAAACTTGCAAATGTACATTGTTGGATCGACATTGCAATCTGTTTGACTTACCTCTTCCTGGTAGCAACAATCTGCCTCATTAAGCACTTCAGATTTGCTCATATTTGGTGAGCTGCCCATGTCCATATTTTCAGCTTCAAAAGAGGAAGTCAGTTCGTCCTCCGATATGTCTTGTTGTATTTGAGGGTCTGGATAGGTTAAAACTTTTAGGTCCCCCCTAAATCTTGATGTTGTAGGAAAAGTTGCTGTTTCTTCAGGGTTGCAGTTATCTTGATCTGGAGTAGCTTTGACCGCAACGCTATATTCATCCTCTCCATCTGTGTGTTTCTCGTAGATGTAGATAAACCCGTTACAGCATATATCTTTCACACAGACACATCAGGTATGTGTAAGAGTGGTACGCCTGAGAAGTCAACAATTGGCGGCAAATGACTGAAGACAGACGGTACAACTGGGTTCCACTTTTTCCAGGGATCTCCAGGGTTGGACTAGGAATGACAGGATGTGTTAATTCCCCCTGACTGGTTGACCGTTCAAGATAAAGGACTATCACATCAGTGTGGTTGAGGAACTGTTTTGTTGTCAACATGCAGTCGCAGGTGTCACAGTACACTGTGGGGGCCTCACCAGCCCAACGTTTAAGAAGAGAAGCGGTACTGTCGTTTGCCACTGCGTACGGTAGGCAAATGATGGGACCAAGTTCCCAAGTGTCAAGCCATTCCTTATGACATCCTTCACACGACATAGCTGTGTATCCTTTGCAAAGAGTGTTAATACCACATGGGTTTAACCAGCGTAAAATAGCTTCCAAGAATGCTGTCATATGGCTCTGCTGGGTAAAGACACGTTCAGAAATTTCCATCAGAACTTGGTAGATTTCTTCTGGGGAAAAATAGGTCCCTGGATGGTACATAGCAGTATTCAAAAGGCTGGCAAATGAAGGAGTTTCTGAAAAAGCTCCAAAAAACTCTTCAGGATACTCTGCCACAAATTTTCTGGTGATGGTCAGGTTCATAACGCTTTGGATCATGGCATTCATCCAACCATTTTGAAAAGAGTTGGAAAACTTGCAAATGTACATTGTTGGATCGACATTGCAATCTGTTTGACTTACCTCTTCCTGGTAGCAACAATCTGCCTCATTAAGCACTTCAGATTTGCTCATATTTGGTGAGCTGCCCATGTCCATATTTTCAGCTTCAAAAGAGGAAGTCAGTTCGTCCTCCGATATGTCTTGTTGTATTTGAGGGTCTGGATAGGTTAAAGCTTTTAGGTCCCCCCTAAATCTTGATGTTGTGGGAAAAGTTGCTGTTTCTTCAGGGTTGCAGTTATCTTGATCTGGAGTAGCTTTGACCGCAACGCTATATTCATCCTCTCCATCTGTGTGTTTCTCGTAGATGTAGATAAACCCGTTACAGCATATATCTTTCACACAGTCTGTATCTGAAAATGTAACTTGTTCATCTTCCGCCCTAAATACCACTTGTCCACACATCAGGTATGTGTAAGAGTGGTACGCCTGAGAAGTCAACAATTGGCGGCAAATGACTGAAGACAGACGGTACAACTGGGTTCCACTTTTTCCAGGGATCTCCAGGGTTGGACTAGGAATGACAGCATGTGTTAATTCCCCCTGACTGGTTGACCGTTCAAGATAAAGGACTATCACATCAGTGTGGTTGAGGAACTGTTTTGTTGTCAACATGCAGTCGCAGGTGTCACAGTACACTGTGGGGGCCTCACCAGCCCAACGTTTAAGAAGAGAAGCGGTACTGTCGTTTGCCACTGCGTACGGTAGGCAAATGATGGGACCAAGTTCCCAAGTGTCAAGCCATTCCTTATGACATCCTTCACACGACATAGCTGTGTATCCTTCGCAAAGAGTGTTAATACCACATGGGTTTAACCAGCGTAAAATAGCTTCCAAGAATGCTGTCATATGGCTCTGCTGGGTAAAGACGCGTTCAGAAATTTCCATCAGAACTTGGTAGATTTCTTCTGGGGAAAAATAGGTCCCTGGATGGTACATAGCAGTATTCAAAAGGCTGGCAAATGAAGGAGTTTCTGAAAAAGCTCCAAAAAACTCTTCAGGATACTCTGCCACAAATTTTCTGGTGATGGTCAGGTTCATAATGCTTTGGATCATGGCATTCATCCAACCATTTTGAAAGGAGTTGGAAAACTTGCAAATGTACATAGTTGGATCGACATCGCAATCTGTTTGACTTACCTCTTCCTGGTAGCAACAATCTGCCTCATTAAGCACTTCAGATTTGCTCATATTTGGTGAGCTGCCCATGTCCATATTTTCAGCTTTAAAAGAGGAAGTCAGTTCATCCTCCGATATGTCTTGTTGTATTTGAGGGTCTGGATAGGTTAAAACTTTTAGGTCCCCCCTAAATCTTGATGTTGTGGGAAAAGTTGCTGTTTCTTCAGGGTTGCAGTTATCTTGATCTGGAGTAGCTTTGACCGCAACGCTATATTCATCCTCTCCATCTGTGTGTTTCTCGTAGATGTAGATAAACCCGTTACAGCATATATCTTTCACACAGTCTGTATCTGATAATGTAACTTGTTCATCTTCCGCCCTAAATACCACTTGTCCACACATCAGGTATGTGTAAGAGTGGTACACCTGAGAAGTCAACAATTGGCGGCAAATGACTGAGGACAGACGGTACAACTGGGTTCCACTTTTTCCAGGGATCTCCAGGGTTGGACTAGGAATGACAGGATGTGTTAATTCCCCCTGACTGGTTGACCGTTCAAGATAAAGGACTATCACATCAGTGTTTTTGAGGAACTGTTTTGTTGTCAACATGGAGTCGCAGGTGTCACAGTACACTGTGGGGGCCTCACCAGCCCAACGTTTAAGAAGAGAAGCGGTACTGTCGTTTGCCACTGCGTACGGTAGGCAAATGATGGGGCCAAGTTCCCAAGTGTCAAGCCATTCCTTATGACATCCTTCACACGACATGGCTGTGTAT